TGCCACTTCTTTATCCGACACCTGGAGGATCACGGTCACGTAGACAGTACCTGTCACACACAAGTCCGGTGTGGTTTTGAGCATAACAGTTGTCTGTGTCTCACCCAGAAGAAGTAGGCAGGGCCTAAATACTGGAATATGCTAGGTAAGTGCAGTTTCCAGAGGAGCCGTGAGAGGCCTTGGAACTCAGGTCTTGGAGTCAGAACAGCAAAGGCAATCAGCTGCTCTGCCTTCCTCCCTGCATCCTGTGGCAGGAACACAGGTCACCAAGCTCACGGAGCATTGGTAAGGCCATCCTGTTGGCATATTGAAGGGGACATTTGTAAGATTTCATTTGCCAGGAGGAACACAAGCCTAGAAGGACAAAGGCAAAAGAATTTGGGATAGAAAAAGGAAAACAGAGAATCAGTTGAGTCTGAATAACATTGATTAAGGGCTGAGCAAGTCAGTCTGAAACACATGGACCTCACAGGACCAGGACCACGAGGACCAGAGGAGGCTGTTTCCAATGTACTCACGACATGCAGGGCTTGCTGTGCTCACGGGGGTGGTTAGGCCTCTGCCCAGTGTGTCCTGCACAACTCAATGGGGCTACAGGCTGCCTTTTTCTGGCCTCGCTCCCAGCCTGAATCCTGCAAAGCCCCACAAATGTTTATAGGACCAGTAATTAGCAATTATAATCAGCAGGATTCTGTAAACATCCCTTCAAAGTACATAATAGCAGAGAGCTTTCTGCCTACCCGGCAACTTGCTCTAAATGAGTTCAAGGAACTTTCGGAAAGATGTAGTTCATTAATCACCATCATGTCAAGGTGGTACATCGTCTCTTGCAAGATCAGGAAATCAAGATGCTGATGTTCAAGAGGTTTAACCAGCCTTACAGAGACTGAGAGATTCAGCTCCTGAGTCAATCAGGATGGGCGAGGTCATGCTGCAATGACAAATGACCCCTGAAGTCTCTTCGGCTTGAAGAGTAAGTTTGCTTCCCACACTACTCGCCCCTCCGGTGTCCGGCGGGGGCACCCTTACTCTCACTCGTGGGAGCATCCGCCATCTGGATTGCTGCCAGTCACGATAGGAAATAGCACGTGGCTTTTACCAGGAGTAAAAATCTGGGAGTTGTAACCTCCACTTCCCTGCCTTAATTTCTCCATCTATAAATTATGGGTGACAAAGGTAGATTTTTCTTCCTTAAGAGTGTTACATCTGATCTGTAATAACTGTTGAGCACAGTAATGAGACTGGCCTTTTTAAATTTTTTAAACAAAAGATACCCATCCAAATACCAACCACATAGGTAAAACCCTTGAAAAGGAGTTCATTTGAAAGCATGAAGTTTATCCGCGATGCCACTACAGCCCAGAGTCCTACAGTCGCCTTCCATTTATAAGTCACCAGAAAAGCTCTTTTTTTTTAGAAGTTTCAATATAAAAAGGATTGTGGCCACAAGCAAAAGCAGAAGGACATGTCACCATGCAGAGGCCACAAGTCAGTCTTCACAAGGCTCCCAAGATGGCATTCATCCCTCTAGTGACTTCTTCAGTGTCTTGAGTCATTTCTTTTAACTTTGTAGGCTCAGAAATCTGACTTCCACACTCCCAGGGCAAGACTCCCATTAACCAAATGTATAAATTCATGATATCAATGTATTGGTTTCAACTGAGAAGTATCACCTTCACCCAGACAGGACCCTCCGGGAACATGATTCTTGACCTCTCACCCAGGAAGTAGTGAGGTCAGCAGGATGACAGAGGGAACTTACCCATGTGGGTTTTGAGGCCAGCCAGAGCTTGGTTTCTGATTATTTTCTATCTTTTTCTGAGGGATTGGGCAGGAGGAGGTAAAATATGCATAATAAAATTTACCATTTTTACCCCTTTTCAAGTATGCAATTCAGGGGCATTGAATACATTCATAATGTTATGTAATAATAAGCAGTATTTCCAAAATTTTTTGTCATGTCAAACAGAAATTCTGCAACCATTAAGCAATAACTCCTCATCCTCTCCTCCACCAGCCCCAGGTAACCTCTGTGAAATTGCCTATTTTAGTTACTTCCTATAAGTGGAATGAGACAATATACAATCTTTGTCTTTTTGTATTTGTCTCTGTCCCTTAGCATAATATTGTCTGGGTTCATCCATGTTGTCACATGGGTCAGGATTTTATTCCTTTTTGAGGCTAAATAATATTCCATTGTGTATACCCAGACCTTGTTCTAAATTTGGGCTTTGCTGCAAGACTGAGGGTAGCCTGCTGATGTCTCCCACTCTCAGAGTCTTGATGGGCAAAGGATGATAACCTGTATGTTAGATAGTGATGAGCTCAGACAAGGGGTTCTCGGCATCACATCCAGGATGTAGTAATGCCTCAGTGAGTCCCTTGGAAGGCACAAAATTAGCAACAGGATAGCTAAGTGTAACAGGATCTGCTGAAATAGCCCCGTGTCTCCATTTTTGCCATTAAGAGACTTTGTCTGAATAAGGGACCCAAGTACTCAATGCCTGTTGCCTAAGGTCCGGTTTCTGGGTTCATCTCCTCTGCTTCCCAAACTGCCCCTCTCATCCCAAAGAGAAAGAAATCGTATTTCTGTCATTTCCAAGATTGGGCTGGATCTCTCACCACAATCTGCAAGAACCCACAAAAATTTACTCTGTAGTCACACCTCATTTTATAATATGAGGTCACCCCAGCATGTTCACCCACTCCTCCTCTAATCCCGTTCACTAAACTTGACTCCAGGTGACTTTTGACATTTGCAAAACAGCAAATCCATTTAAGTGCAGGATAATTTATCACCAATGAGGATACTGTGTGATGCATGCTTGAATGACAAACCCAAAAGATTATAAAAAGTGTTTTAAGAAAGAGCAGCCACCATGCACATGCTGTGACTCCCCTGAAAGGGATGGCAATGACTTGGACAGATAAATTGTAGTACATTGCAATTTTTAATTAATTAATTAACTTATGTTAATTAGGTATATATGACAGCAGAATGCATTTTGATTCATTGCACACAATTGCAGCAAGACCTTTCATTTCTCTGGCTGACCACGAGGTAGCGTCATACCGCATGTGCAGTCATACATGTACCTAGGGTAATGATGTCCATCTGGTTCCACCATTTTAAAAGCAGCCACACTGCCCCAGTTACTGGGCATTGAGCCCAGGGGTGCTCAACCACTGAGCCACATTCCTAGCCCTTTTTAATTTTTATTTCGAGACAGGAACTTGATAAATTGCTTAGGGTCTCGCTAAGTTGCTGAAGCTGGCTTTGAACTTGCAATCTTGCTGCCTCGGTCCCCTGAGCTGCTGGGATTACAGACGTGTGCCACCAAGCCTGGCTCACAACTGAAATATTTTTTTTTAAAGATAGAGTGAGAGAGAGAGAGTGAGAGAGAAAATTTTTTAATATTTATTTATTTATTTTTTTTTAGTTTTTGGCGGACACAACATCTTTGTTTGTATGTGGTGCTGAGAATCGAACCTGGGCCGCACGCATGCCAGGCGAGCGCGCTACCCCTTGAGCCACATCCCCTGCCCCCAACTGAAATATTAAATGCCTTGAAAATGGGCAACCAAACACCTTCTGGGGGCAAACAATGTTGGCAGCAGAGTCAGCAGCAGCCCACAGCACGTTTGTTGGAAGCTTCAAGAGTTCCCATTTTCATTTACTTTGTAATCCATCAGTGATGTTCTGAGATGTGCCATGCATGTCCCTCTGTATTCCCCCAGGGGAGGATTTTTTCTATAAATAAAGGAGTGCCTGACATAAAACCTTAAATTCCCTATTGGTTCAGAGGTTGCTCTTTCACCTTTTCAAAATGGAGAGGGAACAGAAGTTAACGGGTGTTGGTTTATCAGGATGGATTCTCCTGCTGATTTCTGTCTTCTAGGAAGGAAGTACCACCAGAGCTTCAAACCCACACTGGTCAGTTCAATGGTTTTCACTGGCAAACCGATGGCCATTGAGGGTGGTGGAGGAAGGCAGCAAAGAGACAAACATCCTGACTTGATCTCTGGGGGCTATTTTCTCCGTGTGCAATGGATGATGTCACAGGCTGTGATGAGGATTGAAGCCACTGGTAGTTCTACAGTGCTTAGAATAGTGCCTGCCACCTAGCAAGTACTGACAGTCTGACTTAGGATGACTCAACCTGTGATTCGGGGACTTCACAATGGTACAAAAGCAATATGCATTCAGCAGAAACCACACTTTGAATTTTGAATTTGGATCTTTTTCCACAGGCTGGTGAAATGAGGTCCTCTCTCAGGTCACTGGGCAGTGGCAGCTCCCAGTCAGCCACATGATCATGGGGGGAAGAATCTCCAGCACTCACAGTGCACTGTGTTGCAGAGTTCTGATGCTTAATAGGGTAGGGGTTGTAAATATATTTCTGACTTAATATTTTCAACTTATGAGTAACCTCACCGTAAGTACAGGGGCATCTGTAGATAAATATTTGTTAAATAGGATACTTTTTTCTAATAAAGCATCTTTCTGCCAGTTCAGCATAAAATGTGGGAAAGGGGGCTGGGGATGTGGCTCAAGCGGTAGTGCGTTCACCTGGCATGTGCAGGGTGCTGGGTTCGATCCTCAGCACCACATACAAACAAAGATGTTGTGTCCACCAAAAACTAAAAAATAAATATTAAAATTCTCTCTCTCTCTCTCTCTGTTTAAAAAAAAAAAAAATGTGTCACCAGGTTTGACAGTCCAGCCAAAGCACAATTGCCATTCGTCAATAGCACAAAACTACTAGGAAACAAGACATCATCTCCATCTCATGAGGACCCTTCATTTAGCTGTCTGCTCAACAGAATCCTCATTGTCTATTCCTTTGGGTTTTGTAAAGATCATTCACACTTATTTACAGGGCTCGAGCTTTGAGACATTCTGTTGAAAATGAATGTTAGAAATCTGAGGTTGCATGTTTCAGGAAAAGTCATCTCGTCCTGGGTCACTTAACCCTTTTCCTTTTGTATTCTCCCCCCAGCCCAAGCTTTTGGCCAAGGAGCTTCTTGACCTCGTGGCATCTCACTTCAACCTGAAGGAGAAGGAATACTTTGGAATAGCATTCACGGATGAGACGTAAGTGCTGCCCTGAGCCCCCCAACCCCCGACAATCCTCATCACAGGGGCAGAACCTGACATTGCCAGCCCCAGCGGTGAGCAGTGAAATCAGAGGCAAGTGAAATCAGAGGCAAGATGCTTGGGTCCTGTGGTCTGGGGTCAATCCAAGTTCATCATCTGAATTTCAAAAGCCTTGTGATCATGCCTGGAACAGTCAAGGAATATAATTAGGGTGGTGCCAATATTACCAAGTTATTAGGTAAACTCGCTCTTAAAATCAAGAAGGTTTGTGTTCAGACCAAAATGTTTACTTTAAAAAAAAAAGCTTACTTTTAAAAAAGTATATCTGTATGGTTTTGGTTTTCTTGAAAGTTAAGTGAAAACTTCTGGAAATTAAACATTTCTCTCTTGTATTGGAATAACAATAACAGGAAGTAAATATGATGATAAATTCAAAAGGAAGAATATCTGAGCAGTTTCACTGAGCTGAAACGGAATATAAAAATTAAAAATTCAGATCACTCACATCTGGTGAAAAGTGGATTTGCTTTCAACAGTCTTTCAGCTCCGTGAAGTGGTGTTTTGCAATCTAAGGAAGGAATATCTTTACTAAAATTTCAATTTTCTTCTCAGTGTACTGTTTAAAGAGTGCAGTGGATACCTGCCTGAATTCCCACACAAAAAATGTTATTTTTATTCTATGCAGGTGTTTCATAGTTCTCTTTCCTCTGTGTGTATCCAAGTATACATACATGCACACTCCTCTGCATCTTTAAATTATGAAGCTGATTCCCTACAATGCCCAGATCAGGGTTAGGATAGAGGCTGGACAAGACCTTACAGGGGCCTAGGCCCCAGGGAACGAGTCAGGAAGGAAGGTAGCCCTGGTCTAGAGGGATTGCCCTGGCCAAGTAAGTGCAGCTGTGAGAAGGCAGGGCCTGTGCAAAAGAGCAGCCAGCAGGTAATTAAAAAAAGGAAAAAGAAAAAACCCTAGAATATATGCTTTTAAGCAACTATACCTCTAAAACAATTACTTTCACAAATGCAAATGTTTTCTCCCTTTTCTCTTGAGAATCACGTTAAGCCCCTTAAATTGCTTTTCATACTGTTCACTGATTAGAAGGAAATCCTAAATTTCAATTAATCATATCCTCATTGTTCCCGCTTCCCAAGTAAGTTTACTCAACTCAGAGATTGCATGAACTCTAGACATGTCCCAATCAGACTAACCTTTTGAGTCAACAAGAATCAAAGAATGAGCATGTGCTCCTGGCCAAAGAGTTAGAAGCGGTCAGTTGAATGTTTCAGACCACTGCTTCAATAGCATCAGCCGGAAGGTGGAATGTCACTCTTCTTTCTCCCGGAAGAGAAGAGAGCACAAAGAAAAGTCTTGTACTCCCTCTAGTGCATAGCTGGCAGAGGGTGGAAACCGTCCTTCCGGAGAGTCTAGAGAAGATGCAGCCACCTCCATCCCATCCCGCCAGATCTGAGTGGGCCACTTGAGCAATGGCAAGAGTGGCCGCAGGCAGCCCACAGGGGATCAGCGGGAAATAGGTGGAGCTGGCAGATGGTTCCTGAACAGGAACTAGCAGAGTCACCTGACGCACTGGAGGAGAAAGGGCAAGTGTCAAGAAGCCCAGAGGAAATGAAGAGGCAGCACCTCTGAGGGGCTGGCACAGGGAGACAGAACCCATGGTTCTGGGGGACAGCCCTGACTCAAGCACAGTCCATCATGCCTGACAATGCCTCGGCCCACACACACCTCTGGGGCCTCTTTGTTGATGTGAACTTTTCCCCTTTTCCTGGTAGGAAAGAGAAGAACAAGAGCTGCCCCCACAAAATTGTGCCTGTGCATGTGACCTGGTCTGGGCTGGCAATGCCAAGAGAGTATGTCCCCAGCCCGACCTCCACGTGCCACGCAAGGCTAACATGAGATCTTTTAATGCTGTTTCAGACTGTGCATGTGGACCATGAGGTGTGTATGCGTGTGTGTGCGTGTGTGATTTATGAGCAGACTACACTCTGTTTCATAATAAAATGCAGCAGAAGTGTGGCCCTTTGTGACAGCTGTGGTGTGCCACATGTATTTGCTATGTTCCTGTGCAAATCAAGCAAGGTTAACACTTGGAAAGTGCTTGCAAACTGTAAAATACTGAACAAATGCAACATTTTCATTCCTCAGAGTAGGATTTCTAGCGGACTATGTGACTCCTTGGCCAAATACTGTCAGTGATTCTTTCTATATTAACTGCTCTTGATGACGTTTTATGGAATCTGGATGGGACCTGAGGAAAGATGCATAAAACAGAACACAGACAGGAAATTGGAAGTTCCTTTAAGCTTCTCTCACCCCACAAGTTATATTCATTAATGAAGTGTCTGAGTATATGGTGAAAGAGTTTATACCCATAAATGTTTAATAATGTTAGGAATCAGCAATTTTGCAGCTAGCTCTTCCTTCTCTTTTTTATTATGATTTTGTATTTTTTACTTTGAAATAATTAGTATTATAGAAGAGTTGCAAAATATAGTACAGGACATTCCTGTGTACCCTCTACCCACTTTTCCTGTGTGTTGGCATCTTATCAATCATGTTACTTGTTTAACCTATCAAAAGCTAAGGAATTAACATATTGTTAATAAAACACAGATATTCAGATTTACCAGTTTTTCCATGAATTTCTTTTATTGTTCTAGGATTTAATTGCATTTAGCCTCCTTTTATTTTTATTAACTCTGTCCCAATAAACAGAGGTTCTGGTGGTCATCTGTTGATGATCTGAGCTGTGATGATGTACACACAGGACATTGGGCAGCCTTTAAAGCATTCTGAAACAAAGGGCCTGGTACAACTGTTGATGGGATTGTAAATTAGTATAAACACTGTGGAAATCAGTGTGGATTTTTCTCAAAAGACTACACATGGAAACACCATATGATCCAGGTATATCACTTCTCAATATTTACCCTGAAAAATTAAGGTCATCTTACTACCGTGATATGTGCATACCCATGTTTATAGCAGCACAATCCATAATAGCCAAACTATGGAACCAGCCTAGGTGTCCATCAGTGGATCAATGGATAAAGAAAATGTGGTATATATACACAATGGAGTTTTATTCTGCCACAAAGAAAAATGAAATTATGTTATTTGCAGGAAAATAGATGGAACTGGGGATCATTATGATAAGTAAGTCAAATTCCTAAGGTTGAGGGTCATATGTTTTCTCATCTATGCAGAAACTAGACAGGAAACAGGTAAAGAAAGGTGGAGGAAGATCTCATGAAAGTCAAAGGGAGATGAGTAGAGGAAAGAGACCAGGAGATAGGAGATGGTGAGGGAAAGGGAAAGTGCTGGGGAGTAACACTGGCCAAATTCTATTGTGATATTGTGAATTGTGGGTATGGATAAATACAGGACAGCAAATCCCATCAGTATATACAACTATAATGCACAATTAAAAAATGTGGGAAAAACAAAAACAAAGAGCTCTGTATTAAATCAGTCTTAAAATACTTATTTATATATTGCTTGAGTCATGGTTCTCAACCTTGGCAACACATGGGGATCACCTAGGACTTTTGACAATACACCAGTTCCTGGAACTAGCCCCAGCCATTCTGATATAATGGGTCTGGGCCTGGCCTGAGTGTTGTTTCTAATGTGCAGCCAAACTTTAAAACCCCTATTCTAAAGAGAGAGTCTACTTCCTCCTCTGCCTTCATCCAGATCCAAGAAGAGAAGATGATTCTACTTAAACTTTGAATCCTGGGGGCCAATATCCTAGGGGCCTGCAAAGTTGTAGACCATCTCCCTTCTAAGGCTCCATTCCTAAAGGTTTGAGAACCAGCTCTAATGTTCAGATTCCGCGTTCCCATGCATACAAACAGCGTAACTGAGATTTTCATTGATCAAACATAGCTGTGCACCATTTAGAGAAAGTCATTTTTACATTTTATTTATGAAGTATACCCATTGCTGCTTTAACACTCATGTTTTATTTATTTATTTAGAAATTGCCTTGTGACAGACTTCATAACTAAAATGACTCTTAGAGTAGTTAGCAGAAATACTCAAACACACCCCAAGTTGAAATACTGATTGCCATAATATGTTTTAATTTAATCTCCAGTCATAAATTCATGAATTACTCATTTAATGTGATAAGTATCTATGAAAAAAAAAAAAACCAAAAACACTTTAAGAGGTATTTAGAAATTTGAGGGGGAAAGAGAAAAACTTGGTTAGCTATTATTGTATATCTTAAAAGCCAAGTACAGTTAGAATACATTTTCACATGCCAATTAAGAAAATGAATAGTTCCTAACCTACTATTTCATCATAGATCCCTTTGAAATTTGTTAAGAAGTTACATTCTTTCTCTCCCACAAAAGTTTATGCATGAAATTTTGGCTTAAATTTTAAGAAGGGTCACAGACACCCTGAAGCCAGGAGCCTAGTTTAAGAACCTCTAAGGAAATCAATTCATGATTTTTTTTTTTTTTTTTTTTTTTTTGCATCTTATGTCTCAGTTAATGGAATCACCTGATTGGTACTGTTTGGGGAGTCAGATTTCCCCAGATATCAAGATCTAAAATGAACCAACTTGTTGGAAATGCGTCTGTAGACCAATGCCGGGAATGCCAGTTCCTGGGGGCGTGCCTATTGTGCATTGCCCTTACATCTTTGTCTCTACTTAAATGGAACCATGATTGGCATTGCCCAGGGTATCCACAAAGGTTCTAGTTGATGAGTATTCCTGGCCACAAGCTTATCTACAATTTAAAAATAAAGTACAAAAGCAATTTTCCAATTGTGGAAGACAGAATGAGCAGCAGCGTCTCTGGGAATGTAATTTATTTAGAAATGGGTTTGAGGTTTCCATTCATTAACTCCTGTGTGGGAGACAGGAGGCAGTCAATGGCTGCAGCCTCCGTGCCTGGGTTGCAGTACTACTCCGGGAACTTGACATTCAGCATTCATGACTACCTCCGAGAACAGCGCTGAGCTGTCA